GTAGAGTGCGGGAGGAGGAATTTCACAATTGTTTTCTGTTTTGAAAACAGAAAACCATACATACGTATATATCAAATTTCCTGCCGACACTAAAAGGAGTAATTCAGATATTGGTCCCTAAATTTCCTTCACTTCTAATATTGCCTACAAGTTTTGAAAACTTTTAATTTAATCCCCAAATTTCACCAAATTACACCGATTTAAATTATTTTTTTTCCGGGTTGTTACAAGCAGGACTTTCAGTTACCAAACTAAGTTGATCATTTATCTTAAACTGTATGATTCTCTAATCCAAAAGACTTTGGACTTGACGTTTGAAGGCAAAATAATTCTCAATGGTATGTCCTTGAGCTCCGGCATAATATTCACAATAAACGTTGATGTCATACCAATTCTAATAAGGAGGTTGGAATGGTTTTATGTAGTACGGAGCCACTTCTTGCGCTTCAAGTAACTTCTCATATAACTCTTTATATGATATAGGGATAACATCAAAATGAGAACCGCTTTTTATCTTGGATTGAACCTGAGTTTAGACGTTGGGAGTAGACTAAACTTTGACGATTTCAAATTATATGATTTCTTCTCATCTCTGTGAGCTTTTACAGTTGTCACCATTTCTTTGGTATCTCCAGGCAATTTGTGAATATAAATGATGACTGTCTGTAATTTCTCAAATTGGTTAGGATCAGAAGTCCCTGAGATTACATATTTATCTTCATTGAACTCTCTCTCTTTCTGTTCAGGAATCTCTTTTCCTTTGGCTAAAACAGATATTCTATCCATAATCTTGGACATCTTCTCTCTTATTTCTCGTATCTCTTTTTGCTCTTCAATGGGCATAGGATCTTTGGGTGCATAGCTCTCCTCCATCATCAGAATTCCCTCAGGATGCCATTCCATGGTTGCGTCATATTTTGTTTGATCATAAAACTTTTTGTCCATTTATGAAGTCTTTCCAATTTGATGAACATCTTTCAAGTCAACACCTTTTGTTTACGCCATGATCATGCAATGCAGACAAAAGAAATCAATACAAACAAGTTAGAGTAGAATAAAATGTATAAAAATGAGAAAGGAAAAATAAATTGGTTAGTACCAAGAAAAGATCCTAGGTATAAATCCTAACCTCATGTTTTCTAGGTCCATGCTTTGTTTGGAAAAATTAACCTAACTGCATGTTTACTAGTTTGCATGCATTTATTCAGGAAAAAGAAAATAAAATAAATTAAAAGCTAGAGATTATTTCTCCTTTGTGTGCACCTATGGACAGAGGTTCAGTATAATCTTAGATCAGGAGAATTTCTAGGGTTTATTATATGCAAGGTTTCAGTTCTAGGAGTAAAGGTACCCTAATTGTCCTTGTTAGTGCCCCTTTGGGCTGCTAACCCTCAATCCTAGTCCACTACAGACTTAAACGGATCGAGTTCAATTCGAGGGGAGACATTTCTCTATGTCTGACACGAAGAATAAATTTTGACGAAGACATAGAGCATATGAACCCCGAAAGTTACTTGCTAGGTCTGACACGGAGAATAAATTCTCACGAAGAGGTCGCTTTCACTCCCACTTAAAAGGACAAGCTTGATTATAAAGCTTATGTTATGCAATGCAAGTGTTGTGTATGAGGAGAAATATTCAAACCTCTGATACTGACAAACAAATAAACAAAATGAAATTTAATATATGAAAAGAAAATAAAAACAATAATAAAGAAAAATATATAAAATATTATGAAAATCATAAGTAAAAAAATTTGAAAGAAAAGAATTATAAATTAAATAAATATGAATTTTTAATTTCTAATTGATAGAGACAATTTATAATTGATTTTAAAGCTTGACCTGGTCCCCAGCTGAGTCCCAAGCTGTCGTAACCGGTTTTCGCCTGGGCACGAATTTTTACTTGGTAGGAAAAGTTATGTGAATAAATGGTTTTAAAATGTTTTGGGAGTCGCCATCGGCCTTTTGGGTCAGGTAGGTCGAATACCTAAAAATTATCTTTTAAAAAAGTTTTTAAGAAAACATCAATTAAAAGATAAACTGGTCTGCATTTTAACCAAAGATTCGTTCTTTTTAATAATAAAAGAGATTCGTGGTCGATTACATTTAGGGAAGGATTAGCACCCACAATGCCCAAAATTGATACTCATTAATTATAAATTATCTCTATTATTGGAAATTTAAAAATTTAAAAATATATTTAATTCATAATCCTGTTATTTCAAATTTATTAATATAATTTTAAGAAAATATATTAATATATATATTTATTTTTATAAATAAAATATTTATTTAATTAGAAATATCAAAAAAAGACTTCTAGGTGCTTTAAGACATCCAATTTCTTAATATTTAATAAATAAATAAATATTAATAAAACATTAAAATAAATTAGTATATATAATTTATAAAAATAAGATATTTATTTATCAGAAAATGAATTCTAGGTTCTTTAAGACAACCCATTTCTTAATATTAAAAAATATATAAATATTAAAATATGATTATTTTTCTAAGAAAATAATTTAAATAAAACAATATGTATTTTCTGATTTTTATAAGTAAGATATTTATTTATTTAAAATACCAGAATAGGACATCTAGTTGCTTTAAGACTGTCTTTTCTTTGATATTAAAAATAAATAAATATTATTATTTAAACAAATATATATATATATATATATATAAGACTAAGGTAATAATAATAAAATAATAATTAAAGCAATAATTAAAATATAGAAGTAATAATAAAATAATATTGCAAATAAATAATGATTAAAATAAAAGAAATTAAAAGTAATAATATTAAACTGCAAAATATAAAAAAAATCAGGGTCAAAAAATGAAAAGAAACAAAATATTGGTGAATAAAAAGTAAAATATCAAAATTAAAGGACATAATTCGAATTATTATAAAATATAATTACTAATAGTGTAATTAACCCTAATTATTAATAGGTGATTAAAAATAAATAAAATTATGAGGGACTAAATATGGTATTTAACCTAAAATGTATATAATTAGGTCAAGGACTAAATTATAAATAAATAAAATTCAAAGACTAAATTAAATATGCAGAAATGTAATTCCAGTGACTAAAATGGAAGTTTATAAAATCTGAAGGACCGCTGACAGGATTTGACCATTGGTGAAATTACACACATATCCCTCCCCAAAACGACGTCGTTTGGGAAAACCCCAAATGGCCAACTCTCATAGCCATTTTCTCATTTGTTGATTTTCTTCTTCTCTCTCTAGACGAGAGAGATATAAATCTCTCTCGCTTCTCTCTTGCTTCCCTCGCCGGAGAGATGTTGACGACCGACCGACCACCGCCGTCGCCGTCTTTCGCCGTCGCCGGCCACCATACCTGGTGGCAGAAAATTACAAAACTTCCCCAAATTGAAGCCTATTCCAACCTAAACACAAATCCAAACTTATTTTCTTCTAAAAATTCACCGAAATCGCTAGATCTACAATTTTTACCTTCGAACCAACGGTGGTTCGACGTCGATTTGGCTTCCGACGAAGCTTGGTAAGTCACTTCCCTCTTCTCTTGGTTGTTTTTCGTTGTTTTCTGTCGTTGGTGTTGCTGTGGTTGTGCTTGCTGCTGTGTGGTTTTAGTGGCTGTCGATGTCGTTGTTTATTTTTGGTTCTCCGTTCTTGCCTTCTCTGTTCTTCTCTCCTCCCTTTTTTTATTTTACAGGGAACGATGGCTTTTATAGGCACCATGTCGCTCCTCTCGGACTGGTTAAAGAGTGGAAGCTTCGGTGAGTCACCAAGGCTATACGATGACTCACCATATAGCTTCAACGTGGGACTGTTTCTGGAGTCTTCGGCGAGGCGTCGTGGTAGTGGTAGCGTCGGCAGCAGCTGGTTGGACCATCTGGCTTGGGAGGCGTCGACAGAGGCGGTTGCTGGGAGCTATTGGATAAGGCGGCTGGGAGCTAGGGTTTAGAAACCCTAGCAGTGATGATACAAACCCTAGAGGGTTTGGGTCTTCTATTGGGCCGGTTCTGTTGTAAACGGGCCTGATTATTGGGCTCCGGGATTTGTATTTAATTTAATAATAATATTAATAATAATAATAATAATTTTAATAATAATAATAAAACGAAAAAAATTAGTGTTTACACTTGTAATTAACCTAAAATACTTGCTAGTTCGACACTCTCGTTCAGTGATCTTTTCTCTTTCAATAAGAGTAAACGAAAAACCTACACAAGGGTGAAAAAAGCAAAGCGTTTTTCACCTTTGTTCTGACGTGTTCTGCAGATTGCAGCTGAAAGAAATATGGAAATGGCTGCCTGGCAAGATCTAGCTACTATTTATACCAAATTTGGTTCGTGGCCGATGCAGAAATTTGTTTAGACAAAGCCAAGTCAATTGAACTTTATTCACCCAAAAGTTGGCATACAACAGGTACAAACCCATCTATCTCTGCATGTTTGTTTTTGCGGTTCCTTTTTAATTTCAATGGTGTTCGTTTTGCAGGTTTGTTATTTGAAGCCCAATCACTTTATAAAGAGGCCCTGGTATCATTCTCAGTCTCACTGTCAATAGAACTAGATTACGTACCCAGCATTGTTTCAACAGCGGCCTTACTCGGGCAATTTGATGGTCAATCACTTCCGGTTGCGAGAAGTTTTCTAATGAATGCTCTTCGATTAGATCCTACAAATCATGATGCATGGATGAACCTTGGATTGATGGCCAAAATGGTTGAAGCTATCAGCTCCTGTTGAAGCCTTCACATGATGGTGGGATTTGATTAGTTAGCCATGATGGGATTTTGACTAGTTTCTATCAAAATGTATAGCAACATCTTAGTTTTTCTCTTCAGTTTTTTCGATTAACACCAAAATTCTTATTAACTCAGGTTTCCCTCCACTAAGAAGTTCTTTTTATTTCATAGAAGCTATTCCAGGCCACAAACCATAAAAATAGACATAAAAATCGACGGGCAGAAAATTATAGGGAAGGGAATGGAATCTGTAAAGGAAATCAAGAAGCTGGATACGTAGAGGTTGATATGGAACAGAACAAAGCAAAAACTTAAGATTACAGTTTCAACTTCTTCTTGGATTTATCATACATTACAACTGAAAATTGAGAACAAAGAATGGACAGTCGGTGCATTTTTACTGTATCACTTATTTGACAAGAGGAACTCACAACTTGGAAACTATGGTAGCGTTAAATTTTATTTCTGCACAACAGAAAACAGTAAGTTTAGAAGGAGCAAAATCAAGTGAAGAAACCTTAGAAACATCAGAAAACATGAGTTTATGATGGAAATGATCACGGAACAGAAAATTTGTTCTGATGTGTTAAAATTCTTGATTGTATTGTGCATAATCCTATTCCTACCAATGTGGAAATCATGATATGTGCATAAGAAAGAAAAAAACCCTGATTTAAGAAAAGCACAGAAAATAATTGACGATAAATCTCTCAACAAAATTGTCAATTGAATAAACATATAGAAAGATATACCCATATATACATGAGCAATTTAGGCTGAATAGAGAAAAAGCAAAACTTCAACTTCAACCCATCTGCCACTGCAAAACAAAATCACCAATCAACAGAAGAGTAAAATTTGTATATTTTTTGCTGAACTATAAATATCATGTAAACTGAAGCCCCAAAGGAAAGGAAATTATTTATCAGAGTGCAAGAGCCAAAGGCAGCATGGCATGAGATTGAAGGACAAGGGCATCATTATGGGAAAGACGTGCCTTGATAAGATGGAGAAAAACTCCCAATCTTACCCTCCAACTCCCCCCCTTTATCAGGCAGATATTATTTTCATAAAACTTGAGAAACCATTTTCATTGAAGCTAAATTAGCATATTAGTAACAAAAACCTTCAAAACAGGTTCGCCATTATTAGAGTTTGCTGACTGCTTTGCGGCCGCTTGCATCTGTGCACGTGCAGCTCTTCCTGCAGCTGACTGTTCAAACTGCTCTTGCCTGCAATTTTGATCAATGGTTTCAAATTTTTAAAATATGCAAAAAATAAACTGTTATAAAGCACAACTTCTGCTGCTTTTCTCTATTTGACATCAAACCAGAGGAAAATTCGTCTTTCACAACTAAATATAATTACATCACTGCTAGCAACTCATGTTACAATTTCAAAAAGGAAATCAAATCGAACTTATTTTCAAATGTTTCAATCTTCCATAACATAGTAGCAAGTCCTAATTTTCAGCATTGAATTCCTCTTTTTCTGATCAAAACGCAATAACCTTAAACAATTTTCGAAAAAAAACGGATCAATCTGACATGGAACGGACAAAATAACTAAAATTTGAGAATTAACCAAAAAACTGCAAGAAACCCATATTTTTCGTATTGTAATAGTATAATAGAAGCAACCGGATATGAGAGAAGAAAGGCGAATTGAAAAAGGGATTGAGAAATTAAAGATAAGAGAGGACTAAGATACCTTTTCTGAGCAGCCTCAGCGGCTTTGGCACGAGCTTCGGCAGAGGCCAATCTTTCTTCCTCCTTTCGCTGTTCTTTGTTTCCACCATCGAAGCAAGAGAAACACCCCATTTTTTTCTCCTCTTTCTCTCTCCTCTGAGATTTGATTTTCGTTTACCGTTATTTTATAGATTGTGCTTGCGTTTACTTATTTATCCTCTTTATAAACCAATTGAACGTCGCCACGTCATAAATAAGAAACCTTTTGGTCTTTTCGTAAGGGCTGTCGGAGTTCCGTTTGCATCTTCTTAAACTCAAAGCAATATATATAGGTTTACCATCTGCGTCGAAACAAAGCCATTTCCAGCGGCTTCAAGACCGAAACGACAGCGTTTCTCTTTTTTTCCCCCCTCTTTTCGCTTTAAACCCTACCAAGAAGCGACTAAGGAATTGCAGAGAAAGGTGGAAACTTGGAAGGTTATACGATTTAAAATGCGACCGTTAGAGACACTGCCGCCAACGGAAACCCTAGAAATCGAGAATGGTTTGTCACTAGTTCCGCGCGTTAAACTCAATCTCACAATCCACCCTGCCCTTCCATCAGTGTCGAAACCCATCGATGAATGGCAGCTAAAGCGAGCCCTGATAGATTTCCTCAAGTCCTCACTCTCCGTCCCCGTTACCGTTCCTGAAGAAGACCTCCAGATAAAAAGGCTCAAAGACCTCAAGAAACGGAAGCGAGACGAGCCGGTCGCCCACGGCGCTCTTTTCATTCGTGACCTTGGGTTTTTGAGTGGTAGGAAGAAGAGTGAAGAGACCGAAGAAGTTGATGTGAAGGAATTGGAAAAGAAGTTTCTGGATTGGAGAAGCTATGTAGCTGAGAAAATGGATGGGATTGAGCTTAATCTTGAAGGAGTTAAGTATAACCTTAGTGTTGAAATTCCCCCGTCGGATGATTTTGAAAGGATGAAGAAAGATTGGGAGGATTTATACGCTTTTCGAAACAGAGGTTTACTGGCAATTTTTTTTTTGGATTTGAATTTGAAGTCAATTTGGGATTTTTCTTTTTAAGTAGGTTTTTATTTATAGGTTACTCGAGGGGAGGAAGACAAGAGCCAGATACGATTGTATTGAGAGGGGTTCCGTCGCGGTGGTTTGCGGAGCCCAGAGTTTCATCCAAGCCTTCAATGCTGGTCACGCATACCATTTTTTCCACATTTGGGAAGATAAGGTAATTCCTTTCTTTTTTACCTTTAGTTGCTTCGACTTCTTTTGCTATCACTGAATTCTGGTAAATTTTGTGAAGCCTTTGTTGTTGAATGTGTGGGAACTCTGTCGTGATTTGTGTCTGTCAAAAATGTGGGTTTCATGGTGTATTAGTCTTGTGGAGCAAATTTTTATATTATCTATCAATTATGATAATTTTAGGGTTTTTTGTTTTTATTTTTGTTAACGTAATGTTCTTTTACTTCCCTTCACTGATCATAGTTAAACACTTAAGCTAGATGATTGTATGTTAGCAAGATTTAAATAGAAATCAGAAGTTTAGCCTCTGTTGCTTCTATTGATGGGATTAGTAGGGTTTAATTGCATATTTTTCGTATGGTAATAATTTATTTTCTTGCAATCTTTTTATATTTGAAAGTCATTGACAGTAGATGCTCAGAATTTATCTAATCAAGTAAGACTAAGAATACATTGAATTAGTGATAGACTGATATCGTAAATCTTCTGTCTAATACTTTTCATGTGGATGCAGTATTGTTCCTTGCACTTACATTTATTTCCATATTGTTTTATACTTGGTAGAGTAATTGGCAATTTGGCATTAGATTCTCATAGATTATCTCTCACCTATGAAGATCGACGCATGAATTTGTAATAGACTAGTTATATCTGTACCTGTAAAACTTTTCATATGGTTCCACCATTGTTCCGTGCGCCTATTGCTTTATGTATATTAGATTACATCTGTTATGGTTGATGCTACCATTTGAATTTTACATGATCATAAACTGTTTTTGTATGCCCTTTTACTTTCACTCAATAGGAATCTTAATGTTTCTGAGGATGATGATCTTGCTAAGGGGATGGAGGATGACTTAGACATAGGCATTGTTTCAGGTCTTCACTGTAAAATTGTTGTTCAGTTTGAGAAATACCGGGATTTCTATGATGCACTCAGGGTATTATGTGGTCGCTCATTGCAAAAGGTATGAATATTTCCCTTCTTATTATAGATGAGGGGCATTTTGCTCGAGCCTTGCACCATTGCTTGATTTTTATTTTTTCTGCTGTTGAATTCAATGGCACACCACCACTAGTCGTGTACTTCCTGCCCAGACAAGAGCTTATCAATGCCTATTGTTTAAGGCTGCTTTTTGATGGGCAACCAGTGCTGTTTCCACTGCACTGGCCCCGGTGAAACAGCATAGGACCATCTGTAAGGAATGGATAAAACATTATTGCATGGTTGATTTGATTGGGCTGAATACATGGCGTTGTCAGATGTGATGCAAAAGATAATACTTTGGTGCTGTTATTTTGCTAGCATGGGCTAAATCAAATGCTTTTTGGTCGGGGCTCAGTTTAACTTTGCATTTATAAATTCATTCATTAACAACTATAATAAGTAGCTCTGCTAATATCCAATGTTTTTTAATATTGATTAGCAAGGATCTCGGTTAAGTGCTGATTATGAGGTTACATGGGACAAGGATGGATTTTTCCGAAGCTCAAGAAGTCAAAATCAAGACAAGAGCAGCAGGATGCAGGAACCTGCAGCAGAAAGATACAGATCTGAAGCTCCCAAACGTGAACCTCATGTTTCTCAGCTGACTTCCAGCGATACACGAAGAAAGAGATTTAAGGTCAGAATTCAGCTCGATGATAATGATAAATTAGTCTTCTTTTCTCTCATTAATATTGGTTGATAAGTTAGTAGAATCTTTTATTGCTGTTTGTGGTTTATGTTTTCAGCTTGATCGTGATCCTTTTTTGTTTTAATGCAGGAATGAAAGCACAGCTGCATATTTAGAAAGATCTATGCAAGATTGATCTATAAGAGTGGACGACTGTATATGGACGGGCTAAATGATGAATGGACTTTTACATTTTCATTCGGTTGGTCAGGCTCGTAGCCTGATTTAATGTTTATGACCCCTTTATGAAGTCATGCAATGTGCTTGCATTATTTATGAAATGATGCTAAAGCCGAACTTCACCCTTTTCGGTTTTCACATGTTAGATGCTTTATTTGCAAATGCTTAATAGAAACATTACCCCGTGTGTTATAGACTATTTTCACTGTTTATTGTACAATGTTTGTCTCAGTTACCACTTCGTATTATTATTGTGTCTTATCAGAAACTATATTAACGTGCTACAACTTGTGGAAACCGAGGGGAAATATTAATGCAGGAACCTGCCCCAATTTCATCATATTTAAAAAGATAAAAAATCAAGTTCATGTCACCAGAAATTCCCAGCAATTATAAGCTGGAGGAGAGTCGACTCTTAGCTGTAATAAATAAAAACCTATTCACTCATCATTGACATGAGGGGAAATATTTATCAAACACTTCAGTAGAACGAACAAAGCTTCTGAAAAACAATGACTTGTATGAAACCCAAAGTATGCCAGTCAAATGCACTTGTAAAACCATATTAACCAAGTGCAAATTGCAAATCATATTGGACCATCACGGTTAGGGCCTAAGGGCAGTGCCTCAGTAGACTCCACAAAAACGATGTTTGTCAAACAACACAATGGCTCCTACTGCAGTCTACACCCTGAACCAACCATTTCCCCAAGACATTTCTTTCTCATATTTGTATTTTGCCATAGCCTTATCAAAATGTTATTAAAATTTGGAAACATTGGTCAAAAAAATTCCACGGTTGTTTAAAGAAAGCAAGAGAAAACAAGGATTACTCCGAGCTAACACGACGGCTTGAACTGAAAACTAGAACTGAAATGCAACTATCAAGTCTATGGCAAGCCTTCACAAAAAACCTTAGAAGGCAGCATTACAAGCATTCCCATTTTCCTCCTAATCCCACAAGTCAGACAATAACTCCAATTCCACTATACTACACATTTGCAGATGAATGAAAGAAAACAACATTATTAGTCAACAACAATATATTTACAAACACGAGTTCTTAACCTCAGACATAAAGCACAATTTGGAAAACGAGGAGTTTTCACAGCACCTTCCAAAGACCCTGCAGGGGCTTACCTTCAGTAGGCGAGCAATCAACAACTTTAAGGAAATGCTCAGGCTCCCATTTCCTCATCCCTTGCCTTTCCTTCTCCTTCTTCCTCTGCCTCCTCCATGCTCTATCCCCAACGGGGCTCGTTTTATTTGCAAAATGCGAATACATTTCCGATACGAAACGGTCCGGTAAGCTCCCGGCAGTACCACTCTCTATAACTTCATCACTAACTTCTATCAAATTCTTTGAACTTGAACTCTTTCTCAACACATCTTTACTTTTACAACTATGCCAAAAGGTTGAATTTTCTTCAACAATAAAATGATCCTTACCCATGAAATTAACATTGGCCGGAACCAAATTTTGGTACAAGCAGACAAATTCCAACCAGCTATCGAAATCCCCGGATGGTATTTCAGTTTGGCCCTCCGGGTCGAGAAAGTATACGATTTGCCCATCTGGGGATATCCCCATCCACAAGAACGGCGTTTTGGTAACATGGTAGGAGTCGTTTTGGGAAAGACAAATCCTAGAACCGGAAATAAATGATGAGCCCCACTCGAAAACGATCAACCGAGGACATTGACCTGAGACGGCGGCTCGATCGCAATGGCGCCAGAAGCCGATGAGATTCTCCCACTGCGTTAGGGTCTTGTAAAGGAGCTTGTAAGTGATTTTACCGCCACCCCATTTATTGATCTGGGTATTGGAGCCCCACCGGCGTTGGCAAAGGGTGAACCAGAGCTTGGTGTTTCGACATAGCGAAACGAAGCGTTTTGAGGTGGAAGCGAAATTCGCGATCTCGGGCGGGAAAAGGAAGGAGAGGATGCAAAGCTGGACGTCTTCAGGGAAGTCGGAGAAGGAAAATGAAGACTCATTTCGGTCTTTGGGATTAGCCATAATAGTTCAGGGACGAAAAAACTTTGTATTGTCTGGAAACAATTTGATGGTTGTGTTTGAGATGAAAGTTCGGTCAGTAAGAGTTTGATTGGAGAAGATTCTTGGAGATGAAGGAATGATTCCAATAACAGTTCCCAACTAAACCGTTGTTTTGTCAGCAATTAAGGCAAGGAAACAAAACATTGCCGTACTTTGGTTGGAACTAGGGGAAAATTGCGTGCGGTGCAATGTTATTTACCTTTGGGCTGGGCTTTGAGGAGCTTGGACCTCTCAAAATAATCAGGATTTATATACATCTTATATGTCCAAAAAATACCAGGATCTCAAGTGATTGCAGCAGAAAGAAGCTTTGAAAATGTGATGTTGTCTTCTTTTAAAATTTCATGTTTTGTTTAATTGTCATTTTGAGAATGATCCATAATTTCCGGTATAAACAGGAAACGTAGTTACATATCTTATTATGAAAAGGAAGCAATCTTAATTATCATTCATGCAACAGTTTGAAGGGGAAAAAAATAAAACCATAAGAAGGAAATAAGCAATCATTGATTCATACATCAACGGATTTTGATCTAGATCGTCTTAAATTCTTAAGCTCTCGTTCCCCGGAAACGGAGTTCCTCGCGGGCAGTCTGTCCTTGGAATCACGACTTCAGCCTCCCAGTTCCAGTTCGATCAGTTCCATTGAAAACCTGACCCACCAATCCTTGCAACTATTCAGGACTAACATAAGATTTTCCGGACAACAACGTTGAGTGTGTATTCAAGAAATCACTATAAACAGGAATCACCAGTTTCCCTGTTGCTCCTCTTAATTGTGCCCTTAAATCAGCGTCAGGAATGCTATAACTCCCTGCATGCCTTTGTGAGATCTCATCAAAGCATTTAAAAAATGCTTCCAGTTTACCTCTCACAAAAGCTGCTGTAGCCTTGGTGTCTTGCTCCGATTCTTCCTTCTCTAACAACCTTACTAATGGTCCCCATGCTTGCCATTGATACATGTAAGCCGACTCCTCTGCAACGCTCTTGTATTTCTGTTTCAAGTATTGCTCTCCTAAAAGCTTCCCAAGTTCTGTATTCTTGCTTCTCATATAAATATACCAATATGTGTTCATGACAAATATGTGGGGCAGGATTTTGTCTTTGTAACCGGAACTCTTTGATCGATGTGTCTCCGAAGAGCTTCCATGATATTAGAGACGGCATCTTTGAGTAAATTATCATCAGTTTCGGGTTTCGATAAGATGCCAGCTTTCCAGATTTGTTCTGTTCGTAAAACTTTAGACATGGGTGCACTATGTCTCCGTGGTAAGGTACTTAAGGTAATTGACAGCATATCTCACAAGTTTCGGGACTGAACCATCTTGTGGTGGCGCGAAACCATTGAGAAGTGCCTTCGATTTGGAGGCCAAACTCCCAAAATACTTTGCTTGAAGCATGCACGAGTAGCTTTTCGAGTTCCCTAAAACGTATGCAGATATCAGCTCCTGATTCACCTTCGAAAATCTCTGTAAATTCGAGTTTCAGCTTTTCTAAGGAGTCGAACATTTCCAAGAGCTTGAAAAGTTTCTGGGGCTCTCTACTACTCCTTGCAACACCTTCTCCAAAGCGGAAAAACACCGCCATGATTTTATCTGTAATCTTGACAAAACACTCTAGCCAGATAAGCACTTCGGGAAGTCCTCCCAAAACTTGTTTGCATAGTTTCTTTTCTGATATGAAGACTGTTTTGACTGCAAGCTCGAAATGCTGGATCCAAAGAGAAATTGCTGTCTCCAGACTCTCCCACTCCATTTCATCAATTTCTTCTGGAGTGTATGTTCTTAAGTAATCAGGGTTTAATCGCATCAGCGCTTTGGCTGCTCTTCTGTACCTCATGTCAGCTTGTACCTCTCTGTTTAAATCACTTTCTATTGTAGCCTCAGGAAAATAACCAAAAAAATGAAAGCTTGAAAACAAGACATTTTGTTTACCTTGACGAAGATATCAATACATATATCCAAACAATCATTGGCAGCGAGGATTTCTGCAATTCGCCTAAGGATTTCGACCTCCATTTCGGTGCCAAGTTCAGAAACCACTGTCTCTGGTTGATCAGCTTCTTCATCTGCTTGTTGCTCCCCTATATTTTGATGCTTCATTTTCTGTAACATAATCTCGAATTCGTCCTGCAGATTTAGTAAAACCTCGTCAAGCAACCCATCAAACTTCATAGCATCAACCTCGGATTCATATAGAGCTCTAAGTGTGATCAAAGTCTCCTTCAATCTCTCCGTTCGATATCGATCAGTGGCTTTTGTTCTGCTCAAGAATTCCACCGCCTCTTGAAGCTTTTGAATCACCGGCTCACCGTCTCGACTGATTAACTTAATAGCTTTGTTAAGCTGATCGACACATTGGACGTATTTGAGCAGCTTTTTAAGTCTCTTCCTTGGATTTTTCTTAATAGATAGTTTGTCGGAGAGTTCAACGAGCTTGTGCTGGAAAGATTCAGAGAGCTTGAAACTGTTGAGTAGATCAAGAGCCGGAGAGACGGCTCTATTAGTTCTGGTATCAAGAGCCTTAGCAGCCATAGCCAGGGACTGCAAAGGTGCTACTCTTTTTGCAGCTGTTGAGAGAGTTTCATCTATAGAATCAAACTTCTTCTCCATCTCTTCCAAGTCTTTTCTTATTTTAGCTGATGATTGTAGGAGTGTCCTCAAATCGGAACACGCCGATTCTATCTTGAGAAGCGCTGAATCCACTCTTGTCCTTGACGAACTAGCAAGGTGTAACGATGCAGAGACAAAGAAGAGTAGAAAGAGCAAATTGCAAGATTGAAAATACTTGCAAGCTTTTCAAAACTCTAATAAACTAATGACCAGAACAAAGTATTGTTGTTGGCAAAACAGGACGAGAAAGGGTAGATCACGAAGACTCCATCTCGATACATCCCAAGAACAAATGGCAACACTCCAAATTCCAAAATCAATACCACACTCTTTTCTTGCTATCAAAACACGTTTTGGGTTTTTTCTTCTTTGAAGCGCATTTGGGTTTAAGCCCACAATACCAATGAACTCCTTTCAACAAACACAAAGCCCAACAACCAGAACCCGAAGCAGAAAGCGCGAAGCTTCTGGCTAAGTTTCTTACGTAAGCATTTTAACGACTTTATAAACCAAAGGGTAGTCCGTTGATGGACAAAGTATATTTTTCAAAATCATATTGCTCATCTAGTTGATGGATAGTTGATTCTTTTATTAATCTATCATCTTCTATGAATTTTTAGATTAATTTTTTCATCATGACATATACTTGAAGTCATTTTAAATATGCAAGTCACGTTAAATTATAATAAAATCAGTTATTATTATTTTTTAGATTGTTATTGCTGATTTCTTCATCTTTCATCAACAATGCTGATATTTGTTGCACATTGTTTTTCTTGATTTATTTGATTGTGTTTATTTAGTTTTTTATATCATTTTTTCTATTAAAGGACTTGAACTAATTTTCAATTTTAAAAAATTAAAAATTATATTTTTAAAACAAAAATATCAATAATTATATATTTTTTTTGGAAGGGGGCGTATTGTATTAAGAAAATGTTAAGAATAAGAATACAAACGAAACAATTTCACGGGTCTCGTTAAAAAAACATCTCTAATTCTAAATAAAGGGAAAAAAATACCCATAAAATTGTAGAAATAGAGGTCATACAGCACAGAACAGCCACAACAAACACATTAGGCCTGACAGAACAGCCAAAATAAACCCAGGGCTGAATATGAACACACTTTTAAACCACACTACCACAGAGCAGAAACGCAAATGCCCTCAAAAAACATACAGCACACCAACACACATCGAGGGATCATTTAAATGGAAAATCACACAACCACAGCAATCGATCTTCAGCGCACACGATTAATAAAAATTAATTTGACAAACAACATTTAATTGTTGTCAACTGTCACTAACACTTGTCATAATTTCTAATTACTTATAATACTGTAATAAATAATAATCCATTTAATATATACATAAACAACTGAACTTTCTATAGTTGTTGCTTTCCCTTTAAAACAGAAACAAATGGATCTAATTATATCCGGCTCACAAAAGCATCTACTAGCAACAGGCCTTTTCTAGATAATTGGACTGGACTTGAACAAACAATTCCTGAAATTGAAGGTATCTTGCAGGCAATTAACACAGAGAATAATAAGCCAAGACAATCAGGAAGACACAAAACCCGGGTATGTATAAAAGGACAATCAAGGATCGTCAGCAGATCAAAACTTACTCTGGTGCAATTGAGTTATGGTGTGATTCAGGTAATTTATCGTCCCAGCCCTATATATATTCACTTGTTTGTGAGCCCTGAAATAGCATCATCCACTGAAAGCAGCAAGATTTTCGATCCCCAAAACATGGCGAGTTGTACCCTCGTGCCCACTTCATTTTCACCACAACTTGCACCTTCTTGCTATCACATGTAATACAATTGTACACTCTTTTCTTTTCATATCTGTTTTTTTTTTAAAAAAAAAAAAAGCTCTGGCTAAATATGGTATAAGGGGAGGAAGAATCATACATCAATATGAAGATAAATCATGTCAGTTTGAAACCGACTAAGCTATGGGGAGCTTGAGCTTCTCTAGTCTTTAGGTATGGACGGTCATCAGTCTGAGAATGACATATAAGTCTATACTTGTCAGTACAAAAAAATAGTATGGATGATATTATATAATATGCACATGGCACTGCTGCTAAACAGAAAGGCATTGATCAAATTGCTTTCCAGATTATAAAATAATACATATCCTCATCCATTTCACAATCATTCGTGCAACCCAAATTAAATACGAAATAGACGTGTGCTTTTATTGGGATTCATGTGAGCGTTTGTAATTTATTTGGAAGATAGTGTGCAAGGGGAGAGGTTTGACTTTGGTTTTTGTTTGATGGGGACTCCCACTTTGTTTGCTTTAGCCATTAAAACCTGGGTTTTACTAACTAGTGCTATTAAAACATATTTTAAGATCGTTTCATCAAATGAGTTCCATTTTTAATTCTAGAAAATCATACATTTAATTATTGGGGGAAGGGTTGTAAATTTTGATAAGAGGGTGGTATTTTGCTGTAATCATTAAGCAGCAACTGGCAATTTTGCTTTGACTCTTCCACTGTAGGGGA